TTAAATCCCTGGTGGAATTGCACATTTCTACCATCAATTCTGAAGTATTTAAAAGTACGTTTTAAAACTAAAAATATGCTCACCAGTGTCTAGCAATTCTGTTCCTATTAATGTGCCCAAGAGACCGGGTGCTTCTTACTCTCCAGGAGAAGAAAACGGCTAGATCACTTTTCTCAACATCCCATTGCACTTTGCCTCGGAGGATGGACAGGTGTCTAAGCAGATGTAGAGTGAATGCAGCTTTTGGGTGGCAGACCAGAAATGGAAGTTCCCAGTGACCAGAGCACAGGGGTGGGGATTCCAGAAAGCACAGCTGACAGGAAGGCAGGGTCTTACAGAGCTTGCATGCTAAAGAAGGCTTTAGCCTAGCACCACACTCAGGGGTGGCTGTTAGGAGTCACTTGACTGTTGAGGGAAGCCAGGGGGAAGACATAGCCTGTCAGGAGTTCAGCTGAGGTGAACAGTCATCACTTTGATGACATTTTGCCAAAGCTGGGGAATGTGTTTCTCTCTAGGCCTGAATCATGCCACCCGCCATTCTGAGGAATAGAACTAGCACATTGCTCTAACTGGTGGTTTTACAGAAAGCCTCACAGTTCCATAACAGTGGAACAAAAAGGGTGTAGGGAATGACACTCCAGATAAACTGACTTAAACTACTAATTTTTTTCTTTCTTTTTTTTTTATTGTATGTGTCTGGGTGTTTTGCCTGCATGTATGTCTTTGTACCACATGAGTGTCTAGTGCTGCAGAGACCAGAAGAGGGCGTCAGATCCCCTGGATCTGGACTTACAGAGCTGCCACGTGGGTGCTGGAAGTCAAATGTGGGCCCTCTGCAGGACCAACCTGAGCTCTTAACTGCTGATACCTCCCCGGCTCTTAAAGTACCAATTACTTCACACCCAATAATCCGTTTCAATCTTCAACCTCAAAATGCCATGGGTTACAAATTGTACCTGGCTCTCTCCACCTAAGTTGACCTTGTCTTTCTCTGATGCCACCTCTCCCTCCTGAACATTCAGAAAGGGACATAGACGTTGGCCTTTCTAAGGACTGTATCCCTAGAAAGAATATGGACACCTCCTAGAGGAAAGTGAGTGGAGACCAAAGCCTCTCCTTCTTATGCACCCTCTGCTGCAGAGGCAAGTCCCAGATTCTCACAGCTCGGTCACCCTTGAGATGGCCCTCATCGTTATTAATCCCTGAGTTTAAAGGTCTGATTTATTAGGCAGCAGACAGTGCTATGCTGGTCATGTTTTTGCCAAGGACAAAAACAAGAGAGGACGGGCTTGTTCAGAAAGCGGAGTCAGAGGCAGCACTTCCTGACCTTGAAGAAGCTGGGGACACCCCAGGCCCCTGGAAGGGAGACCTAATCACCTCTACTAGCACTTACAGAAGGAATGGTTCTACCGTGCACGCATCTAGGAATGAGCCTCTCAAGACCCTTTGAGGAAGGGGCTTCTGAGCCAGCTTCACCAGGAAACAGCCTGTGCTGCGGTCTCATGGCGAGCTCGTAGCTGGATTCCAATTTCCCGGTGACATGAGAAGCATAACCAGGTCCCCCTGGCTGGTTGCCCTCAGCAGATTATTTATGCACGCTGTTCTGCTCTTCGAGAGAGTTCCTTACATAGTGAGGAAAGCAGCTTGTGAATCTAGTGGGGCATCCAGAGGGGAGGAAGAGAGGCTGGCTTCACACCATCTCTGCTGTCACTGCTGGGGCTCACCAGGGCACCCCTGAGAGCTGGCAGCCTAAGCCCAAGCTCCTGTTTCACTCTGGTAAATCCCACTAGGGCGGAGTTTCTGGTTTCACTCTCAGCCTTTATTATTCCTAGTCTTGCAGACAAGGCGGATGGGGGTGGAACAGAGCCAGCCCCAGGGAAACACAGCAGTGAGGCTCCGACCTTGTTGTCAGATGAGATCCCACTGGGTAAAACCAGAAAAGGGCCCCAGCCCAAGGCCAGGAAGATGTACCATGTTTATCAGCCCTGGTTCTAGAGGTGGTGGGGTAGGAGGGGCTCTGCAGCCTCCTTCACCCAGGACGCCTGCAGATATCCACAGCCTGTTAGCCTGAGTTACACACACCCAGCAGGCACCTCCACTGTATGTGTCGCACTCCCCAGCAAACCAGAGTGACTGCCAGCTCTCTTCAGAGCAGCAGGATGTGGGCTTTCTCTGGCCTCCCACCTTCATGGTGCCATAGAAACCAGTAAGAACGCATGTGGGCTTGTGCAAACATGAACTCCTCTGCTAAAGCCCACAGTCCACCTGCCTGCCATGCTGGACTTCAAGCCAAATTTAACTCCACCTTGCTCCTCGACAGTGACAGATTTGTATGCCCCTTAGCAGTCACTTGACCGGGAACCTTGGTCTTCGGCATCCCCTGAAGCTCTAGCCATAGGCTTCCCTTTTCAAGCCTGTCCAGACTGCAGGCACCCTCACCAGGAATTGTAGAGGCCCCTGAAGCTGTGGCTGCACTGTGGCTCATACTTGTCAATAAGCAAACCTCACTCAGGTGTCCCAGGGAACTGTGCCTTTCCAGACTTTGAAGAAGTCTCCATCCCTCAGGGATTCCTTCCCTACAACAAGCTGGTCCTCTCTTCTGTCTTACCCAGTCAAGCTTAAGTGATGATGAAAATTGGTTTGTCTCACAACAGTCACCAGCTGTGACCCTTCTCGGGTGACTTGAGCCTTGCATGATCTTTAAATATCCATAGTTTAGGCTCTAAGAAAAATATTTTTAATGTATGTGTGGTGTATATATGTGTTATATGTGTATGCAAATGTGCATTTGGGTGCATGTCCACGTGTTCACATACACATGGAAGCCACAAGCCAACACTGGGTGTCTTTTGCAAATTCTCTCCACCTTGTATTTTGAGATAGGGTCTCTCACTGAACTTTGAGCTCATCAGGTCAGCTAAATTGACTAGTCAGTAAGCTCCAGGGATCTGCCCATCTCTGTCCCCAGCACTGGGGTGACACACACATGCTTGTCATCTTACATGGCTGCCAGAGATCCAAACTCAGGTCCCCATAATTGTGAAGCAAGCACTTTACCACCTGAGCCATCTCTGCATCCCCACAGAAATCTTGTTGCAACTAACTGACTTTAGTTCCTTAAGAGACCCTTAATAAAAACAGCTTTGGGATGCCACAGTGATATGCAGAGCCTACGTGATGGAATTGGATCAGCAAGTCATGGGCACAAAAGTCAAATGAGCTGCAGACTGAGAAATACGGAGAAATGCCAGGCAGACAATCCATGGCTGGAGAGTGTCTGTATATATATCATGCAAAAGGAGCTTATGTGTCTGTAAGAACTGGAACATCATTGCAGTTGTTTCTGAAAAGGCTCCCCACCTCCATCCAACCGCTGCACACCACCATCCTGCCAGAAAGCCACCTGGTTTCGGCATGCCCACGTCCTGTATTGCGTGTGTTCTGGGACCCACTGGAAAGATGAGTTCTCTCCCATCCCCTCGGGTGCCAAACATCACATCCTCTAGTCTCTTAGTTGTTTTGCCTTCTATCCTTTTAATGATGTTTAAAACTAAATTCATGTGGTCAAACCAGAATCTCGCATTGTAGCACCCCCTCCTTTGCCTGCGATAAGTTCTCAATAGATGCATAGTTCACTGAACAATAGCTCCAAGGTGGCTTGTGGAAACCAGGTCCCTCATTAATGGGGGAGATGGGAGTGTATGTTATGAAGGTAGACGTCTCAGCCTGCTGGAAGGTGATGCCGGCCCCTTGTAGCTACTAGAGGAGATGGCAGATAGGTCTGAGGACAGCCTTGGGCACTAAAAACCCTGGCAGAAACTTTTTGTTACTTTAGGGATTCATAATTCAGGTGCACCTATCCTAAACAAACCCAGGTCCACTGCCCTCAAACCTATTGTCTAATTGAAACTTTTTGTTATCCTCTTGGTTCTGGGCCAGAGGAATCACTGGAGAGAAGCAGAGGAGGTGAGAGGCGTGTAAGCAGAGTGCCTGGTTCCATGCAGAAGACACCAGGTCCTTGTGGACTGCTAATCTGAGCAGGGCTGGTAGGCGAAAATGAGCAGAGTGACCCTATCATTCATGGAAAACACACTTCCCATGCTAGATTGTGTCTTGGTGTTGGGCAACTGTTTTCTCTGAATAGAAACAGTCCATCCTGGAAGAAGCCTCAGGAAGTTGCCTGAAGTTAAAAGGCTCAGGACACTCAGAAAGTTAAAAGAGTCCCAAGGCCCTTTCCAAAGTTATAAAAGCAGTAAATAGTTGCTGGGTGGAGACTTTTCTGTGGAGCTGCCTCCAAGTTGGGTAGGGATTGCAAAGGATACAGTCCAAACTGGGCTGGGCTTTTTTGGTGATACGGCTACCATGGAGTGACTCATGCTACTCATTTCCTTAACCTGTCATCTGTGCCATATCTGGGTTAGATAAATGTTTGTTCTTGTCTCTCCAGGAAGAGTCACAAGACACCTGGGAAAGCATACGTGCTGGCATCTGGTCCCAGGCTGGGGTGATCTCAAATTGTTCTGAGCATATCTCAATCTGCAGGGGAGGGGGTCCAACTGGTTCCTCATTGTGACAGGAAATCATAAAGTCAGCAAGTGAATGTGCCCAACAGACTGGTGCAAAGAATGAGAAACCCTTAGAAATGTGTAAGATTGTAGGCGGCGTTTATCCTCCCCTCAGCTGAAGCCTTGCTGTGCATTCTGGGCTGGAGAGCAAAAACAGAGGGAGCCGAGCTTTGAGGAGTGTGGGGAGCCTTCTGAGGATTCTCATCTCCATTTGTCTGCTTATCCAGGCCCTCATTCCTCAGTACATTGTAACATGTGGACTTTTCCCAGTACAATCCCTTGTCACAATGAGTAGCCAATTCTATTTCTCAGTCTTGGAGGTAGCTTCCTAGGCAGAGAGAGTTGGAAGTTTCCAGTGAATGGCAATATGTTTCACGGTGCATTTAACAGTGAGCCCCCATGTATCCTCTGACTAATGGAGCCCTCTCTCCACAGGCACAGAGGACACACAAGAAGGTTCCCAAGTACAGCAGAGCACACCACTCCTCTGAGAAGAAGCCTCATTCCACTCCATCAACAGCCATTGACACACCAAGCACAGCACAGGGCAGCAGCCGCATAGCCCCGCAGAACAGCCCATTCCTGGGGTCTAGCCAGGTGGCCCTGCTTTCCAGGAACAAACGGGAGTGTACCCCACAGTCAAGCACCTCCAGCCCTGCCTGGTCCTTCCAGAGGAGCAAGTCTTTGTTTTGTTTGCCCAGTGGAGGCCCCTCCCCAACTGAACCACAGCCCCTACTGACTGGTTCGCAGAGACACAGTGCCTCAGAGTGGAGGCCCAGCAACCTCCTGTCCATTGATGACTTAGAGGGGGCCCAGGAGACAGATGTGGACACAGGCCTGCGGCTGTCCTCCTCAGACCTGTCTGTGGTCTCTGCATATTCTGCACCCAGTAGGTTTTGCAACTCTGTGGAGTCATCATCCCTCCCCTCCAAGAGATGTAGCAGCCATTGGCCAGCACCCAAGAGTCCCGAGGAAGGACCATTGCCTGCTGCCAGTGAGGTGAGCCCAGACACCTCCTGGGATTCCCACCCTGTCTTTACCAAAAGGTCTCCCAGCCCTGCAGAAATAACTGCTGCTGCTCTCTCAGCTTCTGGTGTCTCCTCGCCTACAGAGTTATCCCCACAGCTCTCTTGTCAGGACTCCAAAACCACACAGGGTGGCCAAGACATGCTACTGCCCCCAACAACAGCTGGCCTTGAAGATAATGACATGGAGGAGTTCTACATATGAGCATGTCTTTGTTTACAAACAGACTCAGTCACAGAAACTCGGGCATCACTGCCCCCTGGCCTTTGTTCACTGGGTAATCTCCATTTCATTTGCCAACTCTGACAAGAACCGAATTATCTGTCTTGGGAGATGGTTAGCATGGTGGCCATGCCACCTGTCCTTAACTGAATGGTGACATATTTTTAAAGGCTCAGAAAAATAAAAGCTGACATTTTTATGGAAATAAATTTTCAACACACATGAATCATAAGATCTATTTAATCTATTTTTGAATGTTCAATTATACAATTTAATGCTTCATATAATTATTTGAAATTAAAAAAAAAACATACTCAAGCCAGAGCTGACTTGACAGTTGTTCATACTGTAAAAGTAAAATTACCGAAGCCAAAATGTTGAACAGGAAAAAGACATCAAGGAACTCCTAACAGAGCTCAGTGTACAATAGAGAATGCCATGCCTTCCTGGTTCCCCACAGAGTCACACAGGGACCCTGAAATCCTGACATCCTGTTCCCAGTGGGTGTGGTAGCTTTATAGGACAGCTGTCAACCTCCATCTGCCAGCAGACTGCCTTGCTCTGAGCCATTCAGCACTTGAACATCTGGGCTTACACACAACTGGCTAATAAGCCTTGTAAGGATTTAGCACAAGGAACCAATGCCTTGCACACTTACAAAATACTCTGAGTCATGACACCTAGTTTTGCACACTCTTCCACAGCTGGTTTATGGGAATAAGCAAACCTATAGACCGGCCCCTCTGGACTGGTTGGTGTAAGAGGACTCATTGGCTGTGGTTGTAAATAACAGGTTATGAAGTGTGATAAGGAAATAAGTGTGAGAGTCTCTGACTTTAAAAAGCACACTCTTAAGGGCTGCATGCATCTTTCCACAAATAACCATAGCCATCTTTTGTAGCACTGTCTCCAGTAAACAGTTAAAATGTTTGGAACATTTTTGGCTGGCCTTTTGATTGTATGGGTGAGCAAATGCCCCACTCCCCAAAGCAGGAAACTCGGTGCAGAGCTGCCCCACACAGCCAACCTCCAGTGCACAAAAGCCTTAGGGAAAGCGGGCACTGCAGCCATACTAGCTTTCCCCATCTGTTGTCCGTTACTGCCACTTTGTGAATGGTGGTTAGACCTCCTGGTGAGGCTATGTCTATAACCCAACCTCACCAATGCCAAGTGCTGGCATTGGTGGCAATGCCAAACTATCCCTACATTCTATTTGTCCTTGGGAAAGAAAAGCATGGGTGTGGACTGTTCCCTGCCCAGCATGGTGCTTCTTGCCTAAATTACTCATGGCCGAGTTTTCTCTCTGGAAGGACCTACACCAGCGCAGACACAGCCTCAGGACACTTTCCAGCCTTCAGGCTCCCTTGTCATCCATCAGTTTCCATCAGCTTCGGGATCGCCATCCTCACAAGGAGCGCCTGAGACTCTGCCTTGCCTCAAACTCGTTGGACTTCTAGGACTCTGAATTCTACTCCAATGTAAATAAATAAAAACATGGTCTCTTCTAATTCCAACTTCTGAAAAGGGCTAAATAATAAATATTGTAAACTCTTGTCAATCATGTTTTCAACTTTATCTAAAAGTTGATGTTTTTATTGTAGCATGAAAAATAAAATATATATGAATGGATGGAAGTGGCTGAATTGCAATCGAACTCCATTTCTAAGACCAGGTTATGGCCAGCATTAGCTCAAGCAGCAGTTGGGGAGCCCTCAAGATAGATGGCTGTGGAAAACTGATTCAAGATTCCAGCTGGCCATCAGCTTAGACTTTCCAAGCTAATAGGGTCACTGCTGGTGTTGTTGCCACCACTGGTGTGAGCGACACAAAGAAACTTGGCTTCTCAGGTTAAGCCTGTGACTACAGAGCCACAGGCTCAGCAAGCAAGGGGAAGCTTTCTGCAACGCTGATTCCCAGTATGCCTCTGCAGCCCACCTCCAGCCCAGAAGTGTGACTCCAGGTCGATAGCTGATAGCAACAAACAGCATTCTACATCAGAGAGGAGGTAACATAACTTTTGGGGTCATGGCAGGCCTCTAGGAACAGGAAGTCAGTGCAGCTGCCCTACATCCCTACAACGGCTTCTGTCTTTGTTCTCCATAGTGCCCCTGTTTCAGTATACTTGCCCCATGAGGATTGTTTGAGCCCAACTCCAATATCAGCATTTCTACTCTTTCTCTGTGAAATGCCCGCCTCTATCCTGTCTACCAAGTGGAGTGACCCCAAAATGTCAGAGACACCACATATAAGAAAGACTTGTGAATGCCACCCTTCTGCTTCAGCCCACTCCCAGGCTCCCCTGGGAGATGGAGGGAGTCTACAGAGGGGTCACAGCCACAGTTTCCTTCTGTAAAATATTGGCTGTGCTAACTAGTGCTTCCCTCCTGACATCAACCAGTTGGCCCTGACTCTTGGAGTTGTACCTTATGATACATACTGGAATCCAATAGGCGACAAATTTGTTCAACTGAAAAATATTGAAACGACCACATAAGCTTTTTCTCTTCTAAATTAGGCTCGATGATGTAGAGGGTATCCATTTTATCCCTTGCTTTATGTTGTCTAGTAAGACCCAATCTCTTGTCTCCTTAACCTTAAACCACCCTACCTCCAGCAAAGGGCTGGCTAAAATGCCTTGTTACATTCCATTCCTTATTTGCCTTGATTCTTAGTTACTGTTCAGGGTGTCAACTCATTCAACATTAAGCACTACCTAGTGACTGCTTTAGACATTAAATATTCTCATTGTGTCCCTAACTGAACGGACAAACTACAAAAGTCAGCTTGAATTGCAGCAATTGGTTAAATGTGTATCAGAGGGACTCACGGGGGCAAGGATGACCCTTTTGTGACAGAGGAAGGGTGGTATTTGTTGAAACAAACTGGCTTCAGTGCTGGTGTTCTTGAATCTGAAGGCCTAAAGAGTGGGGTCATCATAGCAGAGGATTCCTCCACCTAGAGTGCCCCAGGGGAGCCCAGATGTCTGCTTTTAGCCAAGAATGCCTTAAGTACAAAGCTGATGTCTTCATCCCTGGAAAACCAGGAGAAATGTCTGTTTTTCTAGTCCCTTCTCTCTGTAATGAATGAATTCTCTAGTCTGTCAGCTATCAGACACATGAGCAGGCACACATACAGGAAAAAGAAATTTAGGGCAAATCAAACCAACCATGGAGGGCAGTAGGTACAGCTCAGTGGTACCCATTCACCTAGTATACATGGGGCACTGGGATCAATCCCAGCATCAAAAAACAAAACAAAGAAGGCATGGCTCAGTGGTTAAGAGCATTTGTCCCTCTTTCAGGGGACCTAGGTTTGGTCCACAGCACTCACATGGTAGCTCACGACCACCCAGAACTCCAGATCCAGGGTGTCAGAATCCCTCTCCTGGCCTCCATAGGCACCAGTCACACATGTATCATACATACATACACACAGGCAAAACACTCATACACATAAAATAAGTAACATACTCCAACAACAGCACCAACAACAGTTCTTGCAGGTGAACTCCAGAGGAGCTCTGGGAGCAAGTGGACAGTGGCTCCCCTCTCCCTTCCCCTCCCCCTTCCCCTCCCCCTCCCACCACTTCCTGTTGCTTCATGTGTCTTCTCATTGCTGGCTTCCACCTCTCCTTTATCCCCTGGAAATGCTTGAGAGAGTAATAATAGGCGAAGCTAATGTTGAAAAAAAATTCTCGGGGGAAATATACTTTGTCACCATTAATTATTGCAACAAACGGATTCAGGAAGGGTCAGGAACCTGAATATAAAAATTATTCATAAGTATATTGTTCCAATTTTTACCAAAGGCTTCTGCTAGTTTGGGGGCAAAGAGAGCTAGTTACAAAATGGCTCTAAATGCTATCATCCCTCCTAGTAATAATGCAGGCAAACACAAGCAGTAGCATTGTGGTACCCTCTTTAGTGAGTGCCTCGGTCACTTGTTTTCTTTGGTCTGATACTACCAGGAGTAGTGTATTCCTTTCACACTTGGTGACAGAGAAAATGCACCCTCCCTGAATACTCCATTTGGGACTGTCTTAGTTAGCAGTCTATTGCTGTAATAACCACCACAACGAAAAGCAACTTGGGAGCAAAGGATTTATTTGGCTTACGCATCCCAATCATAGCCCATCATGAAGGGAAGTCAGGGTAGTAACTCAAGGCAGACACCTGGAGGCGGGAGTTGATGCAGAGGTCATGGAGAGGTGCTGCCTAGTGGCTTGCTCTCCATGGCTTACTCAGCCTGCTTTCTTATACCACCCATGGCCCTCAGTGGGCTGAGCCCTCCTACATTAATCATTCATCAAGAAAATGTCCCCCAGACTTGCCTTCAGGCAATCTGATGCAGGCATTTTCTCATTGAGGTTCTCCCACTCCCAGGTGACACTAGCACTGGTGACACTGACAAGAAGCTAACCAGCACAGGGACAAAGCCCCACCTCCAGGTGCCTGGACTAGCCCCCACCCATCAGTTCCATTCCTTGGGGAATATCTGTGACAATAACCATATAAGTTTCGTGTCTGGCAGAAACCTGAAGCCCCCTTAAGTCAAATGTGCCTGTCTTCAGCCCTGAATGCAGAGCTTCTGAACAGGGACCATCCCATGTATGGATGGCCTGTCAGAAATGGTCCCTGCAGGAGACTTAGGCCAAAGGACCTCCCTGGAGGAGGGCTCTAGTGCCGCCTGGAGGCCACTGCTTCCAAACACAGCAAACCCAGTGCCCCTTTCAATCAAGAGGATTCTATCTATTAGAAAAGGGAAAAGGCATTTTTCTTTCATTTATTATTCTGAGGTTTCACTTTCTATTTTGTCTTACTATAAAGTACTGGGACAAGTTAAACTATGTAAATAGAAATAGAAGTTAGGATCAAAAAGGAGTGTACAAATATATCTAGCAATACAGAGGAAATTATAAACTGCTCTAATTGAATATCCTGAAAGCCAGGGAAAAAAGGGAAAGGTAAGCAGCTTTATAGAAC